GAGCCAGCCCGTTTCCCCGCGATCAGGGGGCTGCCTCGAATGAATAATCGAATTGGGTTAATCCATATTTACCGGGATCAAAAACTCGGGGATTATCGGAAAGTAATTTTCGTCGACCGGGCGTGACAGGGTCGAACCACTTTTCTCGATCGTACAATCCCGGTTTCGTATCGTAGTTTGCGTTCGGGGACCGTTTAAGGGTAGTTCTTTGGTGGGTATCGTTCCCCAGAATCGAACGGGATCTTCGATTCTTCGTTTTCGACTTCGGTTCGAGATAAGAGCGGAAACAGTTTCAAAGTACAAGGTACGGTTCCGTTATCTTCCCACCTTCGCATACTTTCACGTGTGTGCATTTGTGGGCACAGGGATTGCAAGTGGAAAAACTTTTTGGCTAACTCGACATATTGCCGATTCCAATGTAGGTAGCTTCATGTGTTTGAAGTGTGATTAACTTCGCAGAAAGAAAACTAAGATCCATAGATACAATCATGAAGGAAGTGATGAGTTCATATACAAAGTGGCTGGATATTTTTGCGATTAATCGAGGGTAAACTGAACGATCAAATGATACGAGTAATTAAAAGGAAATCGGTAAGGAAAAAAGTCGTGGTATACCGGATAATTTGAACCGGGTAAAAAGTCCGGAAAATGTAACGAGAGATCGTTCGGCGTGGCAAAGAAAGGAGGGCGCACTTTTCTAACGAGGGCGAGCTGAAAAAATTTGCAGACGCGTTTGGCGTAAGCAACGAACCACCCCTGTTGAACGACGCTCGGAAGCAATTCGAGATTTTTATTGACCCGGTCGAAGTTCGTCGGCGAGTTTTACCAAGTTTTACGCCGTTCTCCGCTCGGCTGGCTGGACGATCGCTCGAACGACTTCGCGGAAAACGAATGGACGAACGGCGAAGAGTTTCCGGCGCGCGAAACGAGGCGTAAATGTAAACGAGCGATCGACTCGTTTCAGCCAGTTACCGGTGAATAATTCGTCCACGACAGAAATAGAAGGAGAAAGACAGAAGGGAACAGAAAATTTAGTCTGCGTTCGTGTACTCGCGTATTTGTGCGATGAACGGGAGTAAATCCAGCTATTTCTTGCTCCCGCTCGAAGTAGAGCGAAATTTTACACGGAATCGAGAAATAACATTAGACGAAGAGTTCTTTATTCAACGAATGTTCCAGGACGTGTCCGATTTCTTTTTACAGGGCAAACTCTCGTTACATCGCCATTTCCACGCGAGTTATCGTGCCAATGGCGTTACCCTTTGTCACCTCTTCGTCCAATTAAATTATTTCTTCCGCTTGTACAGGCTCGTAAAAGGCGATACGAGCGAAGAATCAAAAGCGTAGTTTACATACACGCGAGCGATTCTTTTATTTCGACCCAATTACTAATTCTTGTTCCCGGTAATTCTAGCGTGTTACAATAAGTTACAATGATCGTTCGAGCATCGAGCGTGTAACCGCGTCACAGCGTGCGTTCCGTTGGACGTTCGACGTCTTTATATCGCAGGTGTAGGCATGCGAGCACGCGAGCATTCACCAGCACCAAGATGGCGGCATTTTTTTCGACTCACCCCAACGTACCGCGAATCGACGTTTCTCCCTCCTTTTTTTTACGATCCCGTCAACCGTGCACACAGGTGTACCCGTACCAATACTTTTGCCTGCTCGTTCGACTCCGGTTCGGTGAAAAGAGAGGAAAAGCCAGGCGAAAAAGGTGGAGGCGGTAGATGGTAAAGGGTACTGCGAGTGGTAGAGAAAGAAGAGTACAGGACGAGGGAAAGAGAGGAGGATACGGCTGCAGCGGCGGCGGTATCGAAAGAGGAGGAGGAGGAGGGCAAGTGAGAGTTTGGAGGGGTAGGTAGAGACAGGGTGGAGGAAGTACAGGCTGTTTTATTATGCAAAAGCTTTCTCGGCAGTTGGGTCGTTCTAGCTCCGCGCCGTTGCACCAACATCGAGTCGGAGGTGGCGGTGGTGGCGGCGGCGGCGGTGGTGGTGGCAGTGGTGGTGGTACCGGTGGCGGTGGGATACAGCTAGATGGAGGAGGGTTGGAAAAAGCCTCCGCCCTCGAATCGCGTAAATACCGGCAGCCATTTTGCGATAAACTTTTTTCGGCTGGTCCGCGCCGCGCCACTCCGCGGCAGGGTGAAAAAGTTTGGACACGCTCTCCCCGTAGCCCTCTCCGCAAGGGCGAGAGAGGGTAGCGAAGGGGCGGCTGGGCACCGCGATATTCTACGCCTGTGGATCTCGTGGACGAGAGTTTTCGTTGAGCACGCCGGAACAGACAGAGGGTGGGCGTGGAAATGGAGAGAAAAAGAGAGGATAAGGAGAGAGGGTGAACAATTAATCTTTCGCGGAGAGCTTTCCAGTGGCGCTCAATCGTGCGTGAAGCTTTCCCGCCCGGTCTGTCCCGTGGAATATCGTGTTTTTAATAAGCCGCCCCGGTAATTATCGTTAGGTTTGTACGCTCTCCACTCTTGCCCGACCTTTCTTTCCACCCCCGTCTATCCCCCTCTTTCACGCGGCTCCTACTCTTTCGCGCGACCGTTGTTCCCTCCTTGGACGGAAATGAATATTAACGAGCCACTTTTGTAGCGATCTCGTAATGGCCAAGATCTGATCCTCGGGAAGAAGCGCATTTGTAAAGCTAATTTAATTTAAGGGAAATATCGAGCCACCAAATGTTACCGAACAATACTGATAAATCGTGCTTTTCGAAGCGTTCCGAAGTCTGTTTCATTTCCTAGACACATGGATAGTATTTTATCACCACTTTTTATGAAATTTTACCTGAACTGTAACTTAACATCATAATAATATATCACATTTTAAATCGAGTTCGATTTTAAAGAAACACAATACATTTACTATCTTAACGTGCAATTTTGTATACATAAATTTTTATTAAAATTTTCATCGAGCACATACGCGTTTATTATCCCGAAGGAGTTAACGCTCGTTGTAGCTACGCGATGTTGAAAAAATCAACTTCCTAATATTAAAGTCAGGTATGTTACGAGGATGCGTTGTAAAAATCAATGGAATTCGTAATTGTAAGCTGTAAAGCAATTAGCCGGAATAAAAGTTTGAGGAGATAATAAGGGGGCAATTAACGTCGCAGAGTAGAAAATGAAACTGTTCCTTTATCGGCGTGGTGCTGTCGTTCCAGGAAATTTCCCTGGTTGTTCGTCGCGACGGCGAGAGCCACGCAGAGCTGTCGTTACACCGACGAACAGCGACACCTTCCATTGACGTTGTAGTGAATTGCTGGTCTCGCTGGTTACGAGTCCTTGGGCTTCTAATATTTACTCGCTTCCAGCGTGAACCACGGATATTCCCGGCGTTAACGATAAAGCCAGCGGCGTAAAGAAGCGAATTGAATTTTACGCGCAAACAGGATCGGCCGGCCTTAGCGTGTAAATAATGCGGCGCATCGTAACGCGTGTTCTCCGAGATACCGCCTCTTTTCCTGGAAACGGTAATTCCACCTTATCTGTGGATGTCCCTTTATGAATGACGTTGTACAATGTACGTCCTCGCGGTTTACTTCCATTCGTGTAATTCGATCCTTTGAAGAGCCACGTCTACACGCTCGTAGCGACTGCTGAATCGACCAGCGGGGGGAAAAAACGTGTTAGGAGATAGCTTTGACGGCGGAAGAAAAAAAGAACGCGTAAAAACTTACAAGCACGGTAGTGGTTTTTTTCAGCTCCACTAAGAGAGAGGAAAAAAGGAAGAAGAAAGGAAACACGAGACCATTGGCGTAACCGGGTAGAGGCCATTGCTTCTATCGCACAAATTGACCCCGTACCACTTACAGATGCTCGAAACTTTCCAAGAAACACCCCATTTCTCACACTTCCAAATCCCCGAAATACCAAACATCAAATTTTCAGTTTCCATATTTCTACAAATCCTCATCTCCAAATTACCAACTCGTATTTCTAAAAGTTCGTATACCTCAATCAACCACTTCACAAATTAATAAATTCTGAAATTCAGAAATTTCACAACTTCCTAATTCTCTTTCCAACGAACTCATAAATAAAGCTAGGGAATTTGATCCTCCCTACAGAATCTTCTAACTACGCCACTGCATAAGGCGCGTGAAAAACGAGACACGCAAACAGCCACGAATCGAGAGAAAGAAAAAGAAACCGGTAAAAAGATCTGCGGTGTTCGCGGCCGGTTAGCCCCCGGGCTTGAGGATCTATTGTCCTCGGTTCATTACACATTTTCAGGAGCGCGTTGCTGAGGCGACCCGAAGAAGAAAAGGAACGTCGCTAACCAGATGCATGACAACGAAGCGGGGATATCCGATTTTGCTTGCGCTGCGTCGCGTTTTTCGAAAACAACAAGCGAAATACTATCGGGACGCAGCGATCGAGAAGAAGCGAAACGAAGCGTTGTCTTCAGTTTCGACGCGAGTTTCGTTCGAAAACTCCGATAGCGGCCGTTTTCGATTAACCGAATGTTGTCGTTGAATTCTAACGATCGTCGCGTAAAGCGATCTGACAGTTTCGCGTTCTGAATTGGCCGTGATTAGAAGAGTTATCGAACAGCCACGAATTCTGTGCTAGAAAAAAGTGATCGGTCTATCTGTTCTTCTTCGTAAAGGTCTATCCTGTCTCTCTGTCCCAATATTTGTGTTAAAAAGAAAATTAGAGTCAATTTATGATCAATCATGAGTTAATTTATTTTTTATTACAGACAAAAAAGAGCAGTGTCTTTCTATTGGTTACAAAATCACCCGTACACGACGTACTTCATATATAAATTTTAAAATTAAAATAAACTTAAATTTTCACTATGTATTTGCACTTGATAGAGGATAAAATAAAATGTCAACTAAGTAAACGATATTAAAGTATATGATATCCTCGTTTCATGTCTTTTTTGGAGTCTCGGTGCACCCCATTGTGGGCCAGGCACCCCCGTGCATCCGTCCCTGCATCCGACTGTAAATCAAAATTCCTTTCGACCGCGATTTCACGGTTGAAATTCCCTCGGACGATACGTTTAACAAACATCGCGGCCCGGTAAGCGCCGCGTACAGAAGAAGACAACACGACGAGGCTGGGCGAAGACGAGAAAAGGGAACGGGTGGCGTCCAGTGAGCCCCTAATTTCCATCGTACCCGATTCATTACCGACTAGGCGGGAGAAGAGGGTGACGAGGTGGAGAAAGAGGCGGAGGAGTAGTCGGTGAGAGCTCGAAGGGGGCGAAGGGGTGAGACGGTGGCGGCGCATTATTACGAGGCCGAATTACCTAATTTCGCTGGTCGTTACGTTGTTTCGACGAGCCGGAGCCCCCCGGGTCTGGAGAGGGGCGTAGAGCCCTCACGGTGGCGGGTCCTTCTGGCACCGAGGTTCGCGTTAAACCACCCCATTTGAGCGTTTTCCACCCCGACGACCTTACCATCGGGGTGGCCCGAGTCTAAGTCCCCCTGGCATCAGCTGCTTCGAGTCCGCGCGGACTCGTCGACCAATCCCTGCTCTCTCTCGCCCGACTTATCCAATGATCGTCGCTCGTTCTTAAGCAAAGAACCCCTCTTTCCGTGAAATGTCAGGCAGCTTTTAAAAAGAGCCAATGAGACGCGCACGTCGACCAACCAGCGTGGCACACGGAGCTCCGGGTGTTTGGCCTCGGTAGAGCGATCGCGTTGACGGCCGCTCGTTCAATCCGCGCGGATTCGCAGCGCTGTGAAAAGGTGGTGGTAGGCCGCTCTGCGGCGGTCGAGTAGGGGCAAAACTATTGGCCACCCACGCCTGACTTGCTCGCTCACTCTCTCTCGCACTCTCTTATCCTGTCCCCGGTACCTCGAGGGAGAGAAAAACAGGGTTTAAGGGAGAAAAGAGACCGGGAACGAGGGAGAGAGAGAGAACGAGAGTGGATGCAAGGGGTCCCACTCGTCAGGCTCTCTTCGCTGAGCTTTTTTCGCTCGACAGGGGCGAATGGACAAACGGAGAGTCCTTCCAGACTTCTGTCCTCCCTAGGGGTGCGCTATTACGGCATAACAAAGTCCGGTCGTGTCGCGTATATCGGATCGTACGTCAATATACCGCCGAAGCAGCACCGGCAGCAGCAGTCTCTTGGCTCTCGTTCCCGACCATCCCTTCGTTTCGCTCTATCCTGCGCACAATCGACCTTTTCTGCGCTCGGGAATCGAGTGCGTCCGCGATACGTTATAAGTCGTGAGCTGGCATAACCGGGGAGGCAAGGTGCGCCGCCATTGTTTCCCGCC